ACATTGGGCTGTAAATTACGAGAAGGGATGAGACTCAGGTTCCAGCTGGACATTTCAACTGTTATGAGCAGCATGGCTCGCTTTCTGACTGCCTCTTGGCTCATCTCGCCCGCTTTGCCAGGAGGAGACATAAAGCCATATGGCCTCCCAGGCACCGCGCCGTTGTACCTTCTGCAGTGATGCCTGAAGCTGAAAGAGATCCTTTAACTCTGCAGTTAAGGACAAGCTAGCTAACTTGTATTAAGAAAAGGGCAAGTTATCTCACATTTACCTCTATTTAAAAGATTTGACAATGGATTTGTACCACAGGCCAGCAGATAAACTGTATTTTCACATCCTGATAAATTGTTTATATTCCTATACTTGGAAAGGGCGTTTAGCTGGCTATAAAACTTTGGTAAGAAACATTATACTGCAAAATTTATGCACTCATAATGTATAATATTTTGCTGTGCAATTTATTTAAATATTCTCTGAATCCACCAATAACTGACTTAAAACACAGGAAAACTATGATTCTATGATTCTATGAAAACATTAGACAACCGAGTAATTTTCACCAAAAATTCCATTTATGAGTTAGCTATGTATTGCATGTATAAAAACTATTATTTTTCAATCCAGTTAATGCAACAGCTAGCCACAAGAGCCTAAGTTAACCATTGCTTGGTTCACCACCAAGATGTAAGAACATCTGAAAATGCAAATATGAGAATGTAAATGATGCAAGTAATTTAGCACAGAAATTACAGATTCTGTGATCATTTTCTCAGATTAGAAAAAGAGAGATTGAATCAACTAAAAATTAAAAACCTTTGCTACAATGAGAAGAGCCTGATTAATGATAAAATCCCCCAAAGATTTGAAGCTGTTACACATTCAGTCTGAAGTTCAATGTGAAATAATTCTGTTTGTACATCACTGCAAAAGCTGGACTAGTAATTCATTTAGGTGTGGTAGAAGTGAATTGCCTGCATTTCTGATTTCCACACATTAAAGTGGTTTTAAGGATCAAAACTGGGGGAGATTCAGTTTGCATTTAGTTAAGAAATACAAATTCAGAAAATTCTCAGAAACGGATTATTTAATTTGTCTAACTTTGGTTTTGCAATATGTCTTCCTAACAATATTAATGATCTTACTGCACCACAGTGTTTACAAGAGAAATTGCTTTAATATGAAAATTAAACTAGCAGAATGCTTAATACATTTTACATTTTTGAATGGGTAGTTTGGAACTATAGTTAGGCAAGTGCATTTTTAAGAAAAAAAATACAAAAAACAAAACTTGAATACCAAACAAAATTTTCTGCTAAATGGGTGGAAAGTGCCATCGAGTTTGACAAGTTATTTAAATAGCTATAACTTTTAGTACTGTATCAGCCTTTACCAGTGTTGTAATTGAAAATTATACATCTGCCTGCTATTTTCAAAAAGTATCTGCAAAAGTGTGATATAACTTTCATTGATATTCAAATAATTTTTCACAATTTGCATGGCTGTAGAGATCTCAATAGGTAGAGCTACAGGTTCAGGAGCTCTCTAAAGGTGTGACTTGTACAGTTCTGGATCTCTATGAGAGTTATGATTTTGTCTCAAAGAGCTTAAAGCTTAGTGGAAATGAAGTGCACATTTATCTGTACGTCATAATCTAAAAAGGTTTCAGATATCCCCAGGGATCTTTATGAAAGGAAAAGGGTCAAGCAATAGCAGAAATACCTGTCAGAAGCGATTATCGCAACAAGGAAAAAAACCCAAACAAACCCAAAACAAACAAACAAACAAAAAACCCTTATGAAAAAAACCTAGAATGTTGGCTCACTAATAATCACATCTGAAGATGATGCTATGGTAAGTACACATGTGGGCTTCAAATGTCTTCTTTCAGCTATATTTACTTTTGATCCCTTTAGTGCTTGTCAGCCTAAGGTCTTCCACAAAAACAGACAGAGCTACGTATTATTCGTGTAGACAGCAAGCATGCAAACAACAGACTTCTGGCTTGAAGTAAGCAACTGTTGGGCATTTCTAAGATTGGCAGAAAATTAGTAGATCTTTTTGCATATAGATTTAAACTATGCAGACACCACGGAAACAGAGAGAAAAGGTTTTGTTAAGGTAACTCAGTAGAACTCATAATGCAAAGGGTATTGCTAAGTAAGGGTTGGGAGGAGCGAGACGCGATTACTTTTCCTTATCTAGCTTAGATACAAAAATCAAAGAATGATCATCTTTACACTTTTATTCTGTAGATGTCCTTTATGTCTGTGCTACGTCTGCTCAATTGGCATGTCTGAAAACTGAAGGCTGTGGAGTTCTTTTGGAGATCCAGATCCAAACTTCGCAGTTTCCTGACTATATATCACAAATAGACAGAAGAACAAAACAGCATTTCTAGCTCCGTTGGTATAGAGACCAGAGACCATTTCTACACCTGTGACCTTCTCTCCTTCCAGTTTTCAGTGTCAGCATAAATGCATTCTACTCTAATAATGGATGCACCCTTGGTATTGTAAGACCTGGAGCCATGACTTGGCTTTACACTGCTTAAACATGGAACCACTGAACCATCCAGTATTCTTAGATATCTTTTTTTTTTTTAATATACTTTTCCTTCACTCCTCCTAGATAAGGATGTGTTCCAATATGTCTTAATGATGCCCTTTCCCCAAATATTTTGTCTTCCATAGTCACTCACAGAACTAAGTACTTGTTATCAAGAGTTCCACTGGAGTTTTTCCCTCTCCCTGTGTGACCAGATAGTCTTCTTCCCTCCACTCCCACTTCTTTACACTAATCTATCTTCCACTAACATTTTTAATCAGATGCTCTTAAGGCTGTGTTTGTCTTGCATGGCACAATTCCAAATACTACAGAAAAAAAATTTTTAGTTGTCCTAAATTTTGACATGGCCAATTGCAACAGTTTGAAACTCAAAGACAAGAGACCAGCCAATTTATTGCCTTTAACATCATTTGCCTCCTGTGAAATACAGATAAAATGCCAATAATAGCAGATGTATAGGAAGTTCATTATCATCTACTGGTATCCTTCTTTCTTTTCAGAATACTCCTGCCATGCACATAAATGTGTAGTCATTTATTATTATTATTATTATTAAAGAAGCTAAGAGATAAGAACATTTCAAAGTTGTTAACTAGATTTTTTTTCCCCCGAGGCACAATTTACTTTTTCTGTAGCTTAAAAATATTTCATCCTGAGCGCTTATACTTTCCTGAGCACATTTACAACTAACAGGAAAAAAAGAATATTTTAATATGTATTCAATACTGTATGAGAAATTTCTAAAAAATAAAGAAGCAGATTTTTATATGAATATAGGAAAAAATAAAGGCCATAGAGCCATTATGAAAAGGAAGAGGAAGATAAAGAGTAAGAAGTAATGTAAATACAATATTGCAATTTAGCAAACTTCCACTCTCCAGACACTCTGCACCAGCTGCACACCAAGAAGATTACAGGTGTTCACTCTAATGATGATAACATAAGAACACATGTTTTCTTCAGGTCTTTATGTTTTAAGAATATTAACCTCTAGTGTGATACTTTAAAGTAGGTCAGTCTCAATACACTCACATATATTTTCAGTATTAGATTCACTTTGTAAGAATGGTATCAGCAACCAGAATATCATATCTATTTCAGCCGATGTGAATGTTTGCCACAGGCAACTCACCTTTTAGCAATTACCAGCTGAAGTGGAAGGTTTGGATAATACAGCTACTGGATGAAAGAGAACCGCGTTCCATAAACACACTGGGCAAGTACAATATGGCTAGAACAGGTGTTAGCTTAATTTTCCTCATCTGTATCTGCTACGAAGTCTGGTTACCTTTGCACACTCATTTAATGTGGTCATTCAGGGAAATCGGTGCAGATGGTGTGTCACTCCACAGGCTCTTGCCAAAGATTTTTTACAACTTGAAGCCACTGTCTCCAACCAGTATGAAAGCTCAGTCTGGATTGCAACTAGAGTTTAACTTAAAGCTTTTTGTGAGCACACCCTCAGCACATGAGGAAATAGAGTGGATAAAACACAGCTTCATCCAGAAGTAAAATGAAAAAAAAGGAAAATATATGGAGTGTAAGGGGTGTCTCCTCAAATTTATAGATATGTTAGTACCTTGCAGATATATGTTTGTGTATTTTTCATCCCATTCCCAGTCAAGATATATAGTTTTCTAACAGATCTAGGACATTAGTGACTTTTTTTGGTAATATTTTTAAAAAGCTATAAATGTCTTCAGTACCGTTCAAGTACTAAAAATATAAAAAAGTATTACTTCATATTTACTAATTCATTAAGTATGATTTGTGCTAAAAATGCAGTATAACATGGTAAACTTAATAAAAGCAAGTGAAAAGTGGAACAGAGAAGCGGAGGACTTCTTATTTCTATTTCATTTGGAACTTTGATCTGCAGTATTTGATACTTTGCAAAATATCAGACGCCATTTTAATGAGTGACTGTCAGTATGATCACTTTCCATTTAAATTTTGCAGTGACTAGGAAAGTATTTGGATTTTTGTTTTGTTCTGGTTTATTACATTCTGTTACTCCAACTGTTTTCAATATGTATTCTGATACAAACACATTGCAAGAGTAATGGGGACAAACCAATTCCCACTGAAGGAATGGAAGACTGACAGAACTTGCAAGAAAATGATGGTTATTTTCTCACTGAAATTGTTGTTGAAACATGTTTTGCTGAGGTATTTTTTAGTTTATTTTGTTACAGCTCTCAAAAATAATCATTTTTATTAAGCTGGTTTAACTATTTTGAGGCATTTCTACTTCCTCTCTCTCTAGTTAATGCTGAATCAAGCTCTTATTTGCATTATATGCATTCTTTTTTGTTGGAGTATTGTGATGAAATTTTTTTCTGACTATTCAGCAATGTTTTGTCTTTGATGATAATTAATGAAACCTATTCATGAAGCTAAGCTGATATACATAACAGTCAATAAAGAGCACTCACCTACTGTCAGTTGTCCAGTTAACTGTCCCATGTGATTTCTTGCATTCACTGTTACATTTCTGTCAGACTGTAAGACCAGTGGGCTATCCTGGGAAACATGTATAAGACAATAAATGAGAGAACAAAAAATTGAGGTAGAATTAAGTTAGAACCAAATATAAACATGCAAACTGAGAAGGGGAGTTGCGTCAAATATAATAGTCTTTTAATAATTTCATAAGGTATTTTACAAGTCAAATTTTTATATAAAAGAATAACAAGTATACTGTTTTAAGCTTAAAAGTTTTGTGCATAGAATGCCTGCTTTAGAAATCAGAGTTGAATTTAATTTATATAAAATGGTATTTAATTCCTGAGGATATTACAGAGTTATTAATTCAAAAAGCCTTAATGCAAACCTATTTCGTTAGCCTTGTCCATATATTGATAACACACTTTTCTAACTACCTAATCAACACTATACTACATTATTCTGTTAATAAGTACAACCGATAGTATTTGGGCTGTACTTACAGACGTGTATTTCTTTGAAGGTAAAAGGTATCATTGTTCTAAAAAAATCAAAGAAAGAGAGCACTAGAAGGTGAGGTCATATAGCAGACAACCCTGACCCACTGCCAACAGTACCTGACAGGTACCATTAGTGATTAGGCTGATGAAGCACTAAGACAAATGCTGGATGATGTTAAGTGCAGTCTTGTACAGTCTAAGTACAGTTTGCAAAATGACTACATGGCTATCAGCTTCCTACTAGGTTCAAGCTTTTAAGGAGTGTTTACATTCATGTTTACATACATGTTAAACATACACGTTTACATATATGTGTAGGCATATCCTGTGTCCAAAGCCAGCTTAAGAACTCTCAGAAATTAAGACAGAATTGAATTTTGCTTCTTGATGAATGAGGAGCCAGATCCACTCCTCCAGGGGAAGGACAGATGCACAGGAAAGAGGAAGAGCTTCAACAGAGAGCCAAGAGAAACCCAGCCTGAAAAAAAAGAGCTTATTGATCATTCTGTCATTGGAGGGGGTTTGTACATCCAACACCATTAAGACACCTGACAGAAATAGCTGGGGAAGTGTCTTAGGTAGGAATGACTAAAGGCTAGGAAAATATTTCTGGAAATTGTATGTGTGCTTTATTCTTAATTTTTTCCTGGGCATCCATTATCAGTCATTCCTGGATTAAGTATATTAACTTAGACAGACTTCTTGTGTGTGTGACACTGCTGAAAGTTTTTTAAGAAGAGAAGGAAAGGAATTAAGGAGCCATATATAAAGATTTACTTTTGCCTGGATGATGCCTTTGGATTACACTTAAATTTTGTATAACTTTAAATCCTTTGCTTTGTTTGAATCCAGAGCTTTCCTCTGCAACACACACTCTTCCGAGTTATTTTCACTACAATTATTAACTTTAAATGATACTCAGTTCCCTGGGAAGTCTGAAATTATTCTGAGATAATTTCTAACGATTCAGGTGTGTTTCATCTCTCACTGGGCCATGCTATGACCTCTCTAACATCCTGCCAATTAGCTCTGCATCACAGAATCTGGCAGATGAAAGTCACTGTTTGGCTTGTCCATCTTTCTAGATAAAAACCTATAATTATCAGTGAGACACTGTGTTCAATGTGACTGGTTTGAGCTAAACATGTGATGCAATCAAGGGAGCTTCTGGCAACAAAAGCAGCTGCTAAGGACCTTTTTCTCAACACTTGATTTGATTTCCACTTTCCTTATGGTCCTCTAAAGATCATTAGTCCAGGCAACTGCTGCTCTGGGAAAGGAGGTTGTCCTGACAGAGAGCTGCATGGCCCAAGTATATTTTTAAGGAGCTCTTTTCACTTTTTGCTAAGTCAGTATTTGCAGAAGAGTTTTCTCACTCAGAATAATCTCATCCTTAGCAAGTGAGGGTACTACCATGCCTATTTTTGCATGCTCAGCTAAAGGTTTGGTAACTTTCACTTCCAAACACTGTTTATAGTCTGATCCAAAGGTTTCTTTCCTTTCACCTTAGGAAAATACTTAAAGTTCTCAGGCTAAAATCTGCCTCTCAGGTTTCATGTGCTCAGGCTCTAATTGTAAATTAAGACCTTGGGTACCAAACTCTCAAATACAGGATATAATGAAAGATTAGATGAGCCAAGCCTTCTTTCTTCTCCCTTCCTTGTCTTATTTAAAAGATAAAAAGAAGGATAATGAACTTAAGAACTTAAATCTATATTCCTTAGTTCCTGGATGTCAAATATAGAGCTGCAAGCTTAAACTCTGGACCAAAGAAAACCCAGTGGCAAAACTCCTATCAATTTAATCAGTTCAGCATTTTATCTACTGTGTTTATTTGCACTTGTTTTCCACAGGAAGTGCCTAAATAAAGAGGTCCAAAGTATTCAAAGGTAGTCTACTCTGGGGAGTTAGCAACTCAGAGATGACTTAGCTGAAATTAGTGGAATTATAAATCTGTAAGATGAGTATAAATGAGATGAATGTCAGTCAAATGAATACAAATATATCTACGGTGTAAAAATGTTGGATAATTGTCTCTCTGGATCACCAGATCTGCTACACTTCTGATGTGAACTTCATCTTACAATTTAATAGACTTGATAATCCACAAAATACATTCAGATGCCAAAAGGGAGATAGAAGTATGACATCACACCTTTTTCCTGGAAAATTTAGAAGAATTGTTTTGATGAATACATAAACACAAAGAATATGAAAAAAAATGGATTATTAAGCTCTCCAAATATTGTAGAAGTATTCGGGAGAAGATTTGTTCTTAAGTCAGACAAGCCTAGAAGCCAGCATAGTTATTTTCTGGGTATAATTTTCCAGGCTAATAAATTATAAAAAAAAGAAACAGATGGGTATGTTAGTAAATAATTTTTGTATATTTACTTAATGAAAAAGGCTTTGGGTTATACCTGCAAACAAACCCACTTGAAATAAAGGGCAAAGACCTATTAGTTCTTGTGCTGAAATTATACAGCGGTCTATCAGATCTTCCATTTAGAGGTGAACATCAAGAACATTTTCCCTTACATATGATAAAGTAATGTAGTGCTATAAAATGAGTTCATATATTTCTGTAGCTCAGTGTTATGAATATCAGGAACATATATGCTCCATATTTAGAATATGTTCATATAGATCCAGTGTAAAAGTTATGAGCAACTCCAAGGAACGTACTTGAAGAAGTTCTTCATCACCTAATATTATATCTTGACACTGAGTTAGTTTGAATGCATGAGAAAAAGACATAAAAAAGCAGTCCTCTCTTGCCCATCCCAGATTTTCTACCCCTGGAAAAGGCCATGCCATACTTGCAGCCCCAGTCCCCTGAGTTCAGAAGCTGTTTTTGCTGCCCAAACTGGCAGTACACGACACTTGAACAGAGTTTCCTGAGGTACAGGAAACTTAGACCACTTTTGGATTATCAGTATTATTTGGTCTTGGAGCAAAGGAGTCCCTAAAATCCAATACTACAATCTGAAATCTATCTTATGAAATCTTCCTCCATAAAAAGGACACACAAAAATTTGTAACTAGAGAGTTGACCTTTTCCTTCTCCTTCGCTCATGGAAGTTCAGCTCTTGCTCTCCTGTTTCTTGACTTTGCATAGCATACATACAACCATGGCTTCTTTCCCATCCCTTATAATTCCAAGTTCAACTGCAAGAATGTGTGATGAATTAAGCACAGCAGTAGCGAGCTATGTCAATTTGATCTGAGATTACCTGTGTTTGTTAAGCATTTGCAGGAATAGTTTCATGTATACTGCAAAGCCAGGGAAAAAAATCTTTACGTGGAACCAGGCATACTGCTCATGTGATGATTTTTAAGTATTCTTCATGCACATCAAAGGCAGCCAGTTCCTTACTAGAAAGCTGCTTTCTTTCAGCTATGTTGCCCATTTACAGGACAATGAAAAGCTTGCTTTGGAAACACATGAAAAAAGAACAAAGAATTTCAGATAGTGAGATTATATTTTATTATTTTTTTTTTAGAAATTATTTCTGAACTCAGTTATCCTAATAAGGGAACGTTTTTCAGTTGTGCAAAATTTAAAAAAATGAATCTCATTTTTGGAGATTTTTAGGTTTTTTTAAGCTAAACCTTTAAAAAAAAAAAAAAAACACATTTGAGACAAAAGATATTTGATTTGGAGAATGCAACTTTCTGTGGTTCTCCCCAACCCTTAACGAATTACATGTATCAGAGTAAGAACTTTTCACCTGAAATATAATTTCTCATTATTTAAATTCTAGACTGATGTGTAATTTTCTATATCTGATGCATGACACATTGACACAGAAATGTCTTTGATGTTACTAATTTGTTAATAATTTCTTAAAAAACCTCGGATATAATAGTATATAAAGCATGGCAGGGTATATATATACCTCATTAACAGAACACTTGAACTTTCTATTCTCTACCACGATGTAAATGTGGTCATCAGAAGAGAGGTAATAAATGATTGGTGACGCCATTTCAAAAATGATACTACAGATAATAAAAAGCAACATAGTAAGAACATTCTCTCAATTTTAATAATAACAATATGCTAATAACTACACTACTGTAGAGGGATGCTCTCAGGGCTATGAGGGCACCAGCAGCCCTTACTGGTCCTGCCAAACCTCCCTGGGTCCTTCCCCAGCCCTGGGGGAGCTCATTTCAGTCCAGTCTCATCCAAAGCCCTCCTGACAGAGCTGTTCTGCTTGGGACCCCCCAATAAACACAATAGAAATTTGGGGGGGAAAAAAAGGTGGCTGTTGTTTGGGTTTTTTTGAGTAAGGCTTACAGTGCAGTACTAATAAACACCAACTTTTAATTTTAAAATTAGATGAACAGATTATTGTATATATATAAGAGGTCCATAGATTGCTTTATAAAATCATTTTACTAGAGAATATTCTGCATGAGCAATCATAGTAAAACTCATTTTTTACAGATGCTTCATTTATTTTTAACATATTTTGGACAAATTTCATGCCTTTTGTACACCATTCAAATAGGCAATCCCAGCTAATTAACTCAGTTTTGAAGAGTATTTCCAAAATGCACCCTTTAAATTAG